ATATGTGCCAGGGGAACCTTTACCTTTACCTTACATATACTCTATACACACAGATGCACACACACACACACACACACACACACACACACAGAGACACCTATTACACGTGCAATGGTCAAATTGATTAATGGTGTATAAAGGCAGATATCTCTTTAATGGTAGTTTTTACACTCTGAGGATGTTAGCAGAGGCTAAGTGAGCAATATACGTATTTTAAGTTCTGGAGATCGCAACGTCTGTTTCTTCTTTTATAACCACACCTGGAACTCGTATTTTTAAGATAATTCTCACACATGCACACACACACACACACACACACACACACGAGCCCAACATTTGTTGGTAAGCAAGATAGTTGTTAAGTGAGTTATCTCCCGCGTTATGATCTTTCTTGCCACCGTTCTTAAGTGAATCACTGCTGTTGTTCAGTTAGTGACACGGTTGTTAAGTGAACCGGGCTTCCCTGTTGAATTTGCTTGTTGGAAGGTCGTGAAAAGAGGATCACGTGACTCCGGGACACCGCGACCATCGTAAATACGAGACAGTTAGTTGCCACCGTGTCTTGATTTGGATCACGTGACCCTGGGAATAATTATAATGGTCGTAAGTGTGAAAAACAGTCCTGAGTCCCTTTTTTTCAGTGCCGTTGTAACTTTGAACGGTCACGTAAATGAACTGTCATAAGTCAAGGACTCTCTGCCTATAAGCATATAATGATAAGATTAAAAATAAATAAACCAGGGGGTTCGGGGTGCAGTGCGCATGTCGCTAACTCTATGGGCCTCGTTTCTTTTTTTTCCTTTTTAATAAACTTTTATTCATTTTATACAATTACCTTTAATTAGTGCATAATAAACTTCCTGTTGTCTGTTTTGTTTGCTTAACAATATAGATTATATTCCTAATCTTTACCCCTTTTCTTCCAGCTATTGGTAAAATAAATCCCATGTTTGCTAGTATTCTGTATCCTCTTTCTGTTTAATCCTCTGTTTGTTCCTCTCGTTTCTCTTCCGACAGACGGGAGGAGGAAAAACTGCGACAGATCGAGCAAGAGAAGGAGAAGGAACAAGCGGAAAAGCTAAAGACTCTCGGCTTTGACGAGAACAAACTGACCCCGTGGCAAAGGCAGATTATCCTCAGAAAAGGAGACGTGGCGAAATATTAACCCTTCTCTGCCCTTTTGGGGGAATGCCCGTTTCGATCCCAGACCCTGGCGGCTGCGGGGAAAACAGATTCGTGTCTCCTGCTTTGCAGTCTCCGGATTTTCTGCGCCCATCACTGGATCCACCCAGGGTCTCTCTCTCTCCCTCTCGATCACTCGTTCTGTTAAATTTCCATTCGTTCGACACCCCCCCCCCCAAATCCTTTTGGGAATCTGTCCGTCTCAACTGCTCGTTTTGCAAAATGTCCGCTCGCTCAACCCCTAATCTTTTTTGGGGTCTTTCCTTCTCGATCGCTCGTTTCGTTAAATTTCTCTTCGTTCAACCTCAGATCCTTTTGTAATCTGTCCCTCTCGATTCTCGTTTGGTGAACTGTCTGCTTGTTCAACTCAAATCCAGATCCACCCAGGGTCTCTCTCCCCCCTCAATCACTCGTTTCGTTAAATCTCCATTCGTTCCACCCCAAATCCTTTCTGGGATCTATCCGTCTCGGATGCTCGTTTCGTGAAATGTCCACTCGTTCAAACCCCAACCCAGATCCTTCCCGGGATCTCTCCCTCT